AAATCAACACTTTTTTAAAACTCGATTTTCTCAACCTTATACTTATTCCACGAAACCAAATTTTTGGGAAAACACGGCCAATGAACTTAGCTAGCTAGCAGGATATCAACATTTTATACAGCACGTATGGTATGTAATAAAAATGAAAAAGAGCTTACTATGCCGGGCTTCCCCCGGCTTCCCCTAACTGACATCACTAGTAGGTAGCCTGCCGAAGTACATCACATGGATAATAAGTCTTTAAAGCGCTCTGGAGTTTCTGATCTACAAATGATCAAATCTCACAATGCTGGTCACGGTCGGTCACGGTCACCCATACCTGCCTTTATGTTGTCGGTTAGGAACTATCACAGTGCCTGCATTTCGGTACTATAGTGCCGAAACATCAGATCCCTGCATTTTGGCACTTAACCTAGGTAGTGCCGAAATGCAGTATATGATAAGCATGCTTATTCCGTTTACGCCATCTAATGCATGTAGGGTGGGGATAACTGGGACGGGGGAGAAGTGGGACACCTTCAATATCTGGGTGACCGATTGGACAAACAATTTTGTTTTTGGTACGTGAAGAATCATTGACCTTTTCCTCGAAAATGTAGAAACAATGCCAAAAGTTATAGGGGAGAGTGGTGCAGGAGGCCCCCCCTTAAGCTCAGTTACTATTTTTAGACAACTGATAATATTTAAGCGCTAACGTGTGCATGCGCTGTGAGCATGCATCATTTTCCCATACATATTTGCATTCAAAATGAATCTAGGGGGTACACAAACCGTAAATTTTAACATTTTGGAAAAAGTTGCAAAAGGGCCTCTTACACTATGGGTATGGTAAGACGCCCCCCCCCCCTCGGGCGTTTTAAAAGTCAAGTCGACTTGTAAAAGACGCTTTGCGAACACAGCTGCAAGGCCTTTTATTTCGAAAAGCTAAGCAAATACGGTGTTATCGAAACCAATAACACTTCCAAAGCGCTCGAACAATGCGAAAACTAGCACAACCAAACGCTGATGACCAACGAAAATTGTAACTATAACCTCTAAGAAAAGAAACAGAAAAAAGAAACAAAAACAAACTCCTTGAAAAAGAATGCCACGCCTGCCGCAGGTGCAGGCGTTTTAGCATCGGGGGCGTTTTTTATCGGGGGGCGTTTTATCATCCTCGAAGGGAGGGCCTCTTAAAAAAATACAGTGTTTTAACGTCCACAATATTTATGGTTTATGAGACATTTGCAGCGCACCAGAACATGGTCTATTCTGAAGCTAACATGTGACAATTTCGATGAGAAAAGATTGCATTTGATAGCCATTGGTTTTTTCAGATATATAAGGGTGATAAAGATGCATATATCTAGCAAGTAAAGGGGCAAAAACAGAAACAGGCTTACCAAAAGTCGCTGCGACGCAACTGATACCTCAGGTTTCGTGAGTTGTTGTTTCAAGAGGGCTTCTGCTTAACAAGAACATTAAAAAATAAATAACATTATTGGTTTGGTAAAAAAAGCGATGGGGCCTCTTACCGACCCTGGGCGCCTTACACGGATCTCCCCTATTGACCATTAACTTCACACCATTAATTTTGTTTTTGCATATTTTCTCATGAATTTAGTCGGGTCACGTCACAACCAAGCGGTTTCCTTTTCCAGCTGCCTGTCACAGAGATATTGAGTTGGGGTCTAAAATGTGATTTTTTTTGCATTGTACTCTAATTCAATTTGCCGTTTACTCAGCAATGTGAAGTGTTCAGGCCGTTCACCATTGGATGTCAGTGAAGTCATGTTAATTAGGTATGCAGAAACGTTTTTTATGTGTCTGTTATACCTACCTACTTTTTGTGTGGGAGAGCAGTCGAAATAAAAATGACGATGGGGAAAACTGGGACAACGTGCCTAAACATTGTCTCAGTTCTCCCGCATACAAATGCATGGAAAGATTTTCCAGGATACTCAGTGCTGTCAGTTTAGTTCAAAAAGATAATCGGGGTGATTTCTTTAAGTGTCAATTTTTAAAACATCTTCTTCTTCGTGATGGGTCATCAAATTTTAATTGTATTCCATTTAAATCACATTTCTTGACCAGTCCCAGTTCCCCCCATCATTTGTCCCACTTCTCCTGGACGTGTCCCAGTTCACCCCATTGCATTGTCAACCTTTCCTAAAATTCAAATTTGAGAAGTAGGTAACACGTGAACAAACACGCATAAAACAGCAAAGAATGAAGTAGATATAAACCGTTTACCAGTAAATGCATTCAATTTACTTTAATCTTAAATATTCTATTTTTTACGATTTTTCCAAGTTGACGTCAAAATAATGTCCCACTTCTCCCCGGTCTCCCCTAGGGATCTGATCTGAATCTGATGTCTCGCGCCGACCACTAAGGGGGGACATAGGAGGGCGCAGCCGTTTACGTTTACACTCGTCCATCGGCTTTGGCGGAGCCTGTGTAAATCGCAGACCAATGTAAACAGACGCTTCCCAGACTTTACATAGCGGTCGGGAGAGCTGCATACAATACTACAGTGCACATCTTTACCCGACACTGTGAAGCACTTACTGCTCGGCGCTCGCACAGGGTCGTCTTGCTCCCGGCAGGGATAATGGCGACCAACACTGTAAAAAAAAATGTCACGAGCCAATTCTATGACAAGGCCAGTGGGTTACACGGTCGTCCATTGTATGTGCCTTGCTGTTGTATATAGGGACATTATCAGCCTGAGCGTTGTTAGTTAAAGAGTGCCCTCGTAAAACAATTGGTTACACCCGGCGACTCACTAGGGTGCCTGCCCAGACCAATGTCTCCCCCTTTATCCTATCATCCTCCCGGCTCTGAAATGGTCTTGCCAGACCGAAAGGGCCTAACCCAACAAAACAAACCAAAAAATTGGCTTCAAACGGTAACCTGACAGTGACGTACCCAAGGGGGGGGGGGGCACGGGGGCCATGGCCCCCTCCTGAGCGCCGAAGGCGCTCAGGGGGCCCCTCAGGCCCCGGTATATTTTTTTTCAAACACTGGATAAAACGTCTTTTACTAGGAAGAAAAAATGATATCAAAGTTTCATTTATGTGCCCCTGGTTACCCGAGGGGCCCCTGATGACCCGATGGGCCCCTGCAGTCATCCGAGGGCCCCCGGTTTTCTGGGGCCCTGGTCGCCTAGGGGGCCCCTGGTAGCCGGGGCCTGGTCGCATGGGGGCCCCTGATTGCCTGGGGTCCCTAGTCTCCTAGGGGGCCCTGGTAGCCGGGGGCCTGGTCGCATGGGGCCCCTGATCGCCTGGGGCCCCTAGTCGCCAAGGGGGCTCCTGGTAGCGGGGGCCTGGTCGCATGGGGGCCCCTGGTTGCCTGGGACCCCTGAGGGCCCCTGGTCGCCTGGGCGGCCTGGGGCCCCCGGGTGATCTAAGGGCCCCTTCAGAAGCAGGTGGCCCCCTCCTGGGCGAAATCCTGGGTACGTGCCTGTAACCTGATAACTTAAATGCTTCCCTAACACCCCTTCCTGCTTAATACTTATTAACAGTTTTCGCGCTGTTTCGGAAAACTACGCATAGTCTCATAATTAAATCCGCCAGAAGCTTGTCGCACGCCAGTTACATGCGTGTTTCATTATCGTGTCATATTATTATTATGTCGGCATGAGGCACCGCCCTGCACGTCCCCGGGCCCGGTTGTGGTGCGGACGAGCTCCGTTATCGTGTGGTCCAGTGGTCATTGGAGGCCCAGACCTGAGACCTTGCCCGTACTTCGGCCGTTGCATTTGTGCCGGAGCTAGCCAGCGTAAAACCAGCTATGGCCGAGACTTATTTTGCTGGCTGGGGACACTTTATCAGGAATGTTTTTGCTTTATACTGTTCAGCAGTATAAAGGAATCGAAATCCGAGGAGTTTTTGGATTTTAGAGACTTTTTTTTTGGGGGGGGGAGGTATGTCCCCTACAGCGTCGAAAACGCCTTTCTGGATCCGTGTCCGTCTATGACATCATCTCGACTGGGATCTTGCCCCCCCCCCCCACGCCAAAATCGAATCCGCCGCCACTGGCTGGGGTAGTTCTTTCCGTTCTTTCTGTAAAATATAGAAAATAATCCTTTTTAATGATTCATTTTCTTTGCTGATCATCATTTTGAGCATAAAAATCATAAACCCGTTGGAAAAACTAATTTCGAGAAAGTGAACTACTCATTTACCTCGCGTTCGATGTCTCTCGGACGACGAAGATTCTACGTCATCCGGCCAATCCCGTCCAAGGTCAGAGGGGGCTCGTCTGCAGTTCTGGAACGTGATTGGCCGGACGGCGTAGAATCTTCGCCGTCCGAGAGACATCGAACGCAGGGTTACTTTATGTGAACTTATGTGAACTTTACCGCGCGTTCGATGTCTCTCGGACGGCGAAGATTCTACGCCGTCCGGCCAATCACGTTTCATAACCGCAGCCGAGCCCCCGCTGACCTTGGACGTTATTGGCCGGACGGCAAAGAATCTTTGCCGTCCGGGAGACATCGAACGCGGGGTTAATCTTTCTGTGCATCCCGTTAGCTATTCAATACCAACGTATTCAGAAAAAAATCCCCGCAACATGAAGGGAATGAGCACCATTAACCCGGTTTACATAGGGTTTGTTGCAATATCCGTCCGTGATGTTGCAAAAGATGCCAATGGTGCTTAACAATTTACAAAATGATCCCCTCTAAATATCTGTAGACCACTGCATCGAAATTATCGCCAAATGAACGAGCTAGAGCCTCGTCAAATATGCTATCCCCGCGTTCGATGTCTCTCGGACGGCGAAGATTCTACGTCGTCTGGCCAATCCTATTCAAGGCCAGCGGGGGCTCGGCTGCTGTTATGGAACGTGATTGGCCGGACGGCGTAGAATCTTTGCCGTCCGAGAGACATCGAACGCGGGGTATGTAAACCGGGTTATTGAGCACTAAAGGTGTACAAAGGAATTTCCCTACATATGGCAGCACGAATGCGCGCTTCCGGACCTTCGAACTTCCGGCGCACGAGGAAGCACGTGGTCGTTTCGTCGGTTTTGAAAATGGCGGCTCGTGAGACGTGAGTGGTGGTGATGGTGTGACTGCCGGTGGATAGGCGGTGTTTATCATTTCTAAAGCCTTTAAAGGGATGGTACATAAACCGTGAAATGCTTTGAATCGTACAAATCATCACGGTCATCTATATTTTTCTTCACCTTACTGTTACCAATGCAGTGGATTTCACAGTTCACTCTACACTTCACCGACCTTGTCGACAATCAATCTAGACAGTAGACGCTGGTAAGTTACCATCCGTATGTGAAAATGATTCGGTAGTCGTGTCGTAGTAGGCATCACTCGTTTTTTTTTTGCAACCAAGGAGAGGTGCTGACCAGGGCGGTGTTTCACGGGACGCTGCTACCACGCTGCTATCAAATTGCGCGAGCTGACGTCACACTTGTGGTAGTGTTGGAGCAATGGGCCTGTTGATGTTTCCATGGAAACCCAATTTGACACGTGTAAAAGCAGTGTGCTGCTATCACCGGTGAAACAGGGCCCAGGTGCAAGGTAGTACCCAGAGGCCAGAGATGTTTTGCACAATTGGTTGGTTTGACGTACCTACTTAACCAAACTTCTTAACCTATAAATATTTGACTACCATTGCCTGTGATCTCTCCTAAGGCAATACCTTCGGCACTGCTGCTTTGCAACAAGTAATTTGACGTCACTTCCCTCATACCTATTTGAATCAGTAGCGGCGGAACACCTTCAACTAAAGGGGGGCACTGCCGATTTTTGGTCCCATTCTTTCCATGCAACGCCCATAACATAACAACGCCCATAACGTAACATAACATAACAACGCCCATAACATAGGGCTAATGTTAAAATGCCAAATTCAAAGGGGGGCACGGTGCCCTCCCCGTTCCGCCGCCTATGATTTGAATAGGTAGCATCTGTAATATTCAACCTCAATATTGGAGCACAGTGCATGTTGGGTGGAATGCGCAGTCGGTACTCTGTGAAGGAGTAGTGACAGTAAATATTGTATTGGTGCATTTTAACTTGGCCATGAATACTTAACTATCAGATATCAATATGAAATCAGGTCAAATTATGTCATGGGTGGGTAAGGTATGCTCCTTAGTCCTTACCATCGCTCGGGGTTCCCAATGAAAGTAAGGGCTGTCGGTCTTAAAGTAAATTAATATCACCTTACCTACAACATACAACCTACAACCTACATCCTACATCCTTGTAGTACTTGTTGTAATATCTTACTTGTTAAAAGTACTTGTAAGTACTTGTTGTAATATCTTGCATATTTATGAAATACCATACTTGTTGTAAGTACTTGTTGTAATATCTTGCATATTTATGAAATACCAGGATTTCATGTCAGAATCTTAACAGGGTGGGAAACAATAGGATGTGGGTACATCAACTGTCAAGTGACATGTAAACTGGCTGTTGGAAATATATGAAACTTTTTTCTGAGATGAAGTAGTCGGTCATTCGTATTTTGGGGATGGGAGTATTTTCCCCATTAGGTGTGATTTGCCACCAAAAAGTCTGAAAAATGGAACACTGGATAACAGGCAATGGTAAGTCAAATATTTTTAGGTTAAGTGGCTGTGTATCTGGCTTCAGGCATTACCTGAAGCCTGATGCATAACCACTTAACCTAAAAATATTTGACTTACCATTGCTTGCAATCTATTCCTGGGAGTGACTTTTTCCTTATCTCCCGGTAGGCAAACAGACAACAGTTATAGGTCAGGTTAGGTAAGGTTTGGTTATGTTCTGACCATTTCTTGCGTTTTTTCCCCTCGCTTCATGTTTTTAAATTATGACGTCACTTTCGAAACACCACAGAAACACACATCAAATAATGTTTAAAGGGACCCTCCCACCTTCAAAAAAGTTAATGAATTGGCATAAAAGTGATGTAGCGTGAATCACAAAGAGCGAAAATGAACATCTACCAAATTTTACCGGAAAATATTCACCCGTTTTCGAGATATAAGACTTTTATTTTTGTTTACTTTTTGGGAAATCCGCTGTTTCTATGACGTCACATAAAGGTTTTCTTTACGTCGGCATTTGGAAGCAATAGTTTGGTATCAAAGTGCGACAAATATTGCGCGAATGATGCGTTTATCTTATCAAGGTCAATATATGATGGCCAATAAAGGGTTCCAGGACAATTCTTATGGCATTTCTTCGTATCGCAATTCTTCGTCTGCAAATCTTCGTCAGGGCATTTATTCGTACCTACTACCTATCGCATTACTTTGTCTCGCACCAGGGTATATGAAAATCGGCTCGCATTTCTTCTTCAACGCAAATATATGCAAGAGTAAGCATTGAGGGACAAATAAATGCACCGACGAAGATTTGTAGACGAAGAAATGCGGACGAAAAATTGTGCTACGAAGAAATGTCATGCGAGGATTCGTTCGGGTACCATGACATTTATGTGATTTCAAAGTCAAGGTTCACAGCTGATCTGCTAAATCAAGCCAAGAATCCAAACTATCAAAAAACTATAAATATTTGTTTGTCTGTCACAGAGGTCTCAAGCAATATAAGGTTGACATATGTTGAATCAAAAATCTACTGCCACAACTCACATCTCCTGCCTTAGTTTATCATTGTTGTTTTAACTTGCTTTCAAGAGAAACAGAAGCCAATATCTGATATCACTTCAGATGATTGTTTCAAGATCTGAGTTCAAATGGAAATAAAAGCAAGATCAAGATGAAACAGGGGTTATTGCTGTTAAAGTAGTTTGGCCATGATACAACAAGCACTTAAATCATTAGCCAAATCAAATACTGGTTGGTTTGTCAAGATGTTTGTTGTCTGTCGTCTGTCGAGCTGCTATGAACACTGAATGCTCCCACTCTTACTTTAAAGAGAGTAGTTTAAGTTGAATGGTAGTGAGCTGTAATTAGACAAAGCAGCTATTCAGTGCTCACATCAAGCCAGGCTAGGAAATGGCATCAACTGTGGTGGGAGGAAGCAGGTTCGGCAGCCCTATTTTGTAAACTTCTGTTATGTCTTGTGTTTGATCAACTGATGTTTTCTGCTCTGTTTTGTGCAGTGATAGTAGCAGGTAACTGCATGCTTGTCAAATTATGTGAATAAACGAATTCATAACATTGCATTTTTCTCTCCATGCAAGGAACAAGTAAGATGTTGTAGAAAATGTAATAGAGGGCTGCATTGCTGATTTTGCACTTTATCAGAGCTTTATTTAGAATTGCTTTCCTGAAAGCTACACACAGGCCACAGTGCTGAAATTCACAATGTCATAGCTTTTGGCAGAAAAAAGAAAAGACTTACCTAGGTAAAATTGGCTGAAAGTATGGCAGAGCAGGTCTTGATGCGTATGCCCATCCGTGTGCTTGCCGAAGCCGAACTGACTGCAACACATTTAACTCTGACCCACCATGGTGGCTGGCATATCCTGAACTTTCACCACTCTAAACAAGACAACTTTCAGCCCTCAGCATTGTATTAAAACACTGTACAAAACACTCAAAATTTGTTTCAGTGCCATCCACGGACAACATCAGTCGCCATTCACCAGGCCAGTAAAAACAGAATAGATAATAGCTTCAAACCCATGTAGTCAGAGTTACTAGGTCTGCACCTCAAAACAAAATCCAGGTGACATTCACCACGCCAGTAAAAAACAGGTACTTAGGTAACGTAACAGCTTCAAATCTGGTAACATGTTGGTCGGACTTTACACTACCATATTTACATGGAATAATATGATACCAAACAATAGTGCAACCATTCTGGACAACAATAGTGTATGATAAAATTAATTTAGAATACTCTGGCAGCATGATTTACGAGCACAGGCAGGTGTTACCTACCAGCCTTCTCAATGCTCGTAAAACCAACATTGTAGTTTTGATTTTACCTTACATGATAACACACTTGGCTGCAATGGCACATTTAATTTAATACTGTGAAAAGACCAGTTATAACCACTTCACAAGCACAATTGCACCTCATGCCGACATCCTTTTCCAAAGACAGTCAGCAGCGTCTTTCGTCAAAACTGGAAGATAAATCCCCTTTCAACTGTTAACATCAAAAATATTTCTTCATGGTGTGACTGTGATCTCCATATGGAAACCTTACAGGAAAAGAATTAATGTCAATTGTCAGCTCTTCAAATTTCTTTGGACTTTAACTTGCAGTACCATATCCAGTTTGCTTTGATATTTTGTTTTTTATTCCATGTTGAAGTTGAACACCAAGCTCCAGATATAGCAGGCAGCTTGATCATCTTCGGCCTTGGTATAATATCAGTCCAAGTTCCAGTGGTGGGTATCTTCTAATATTCAAATTAAAATGAAAAGCAATAGGCTTTCTCAGCGCCGACGACGGATTTCAAGTTGATAAAAAAGGGAGCTCAAGGTCAGCAAAACTCGGGTTCAAGGAATGGCGGGCGTTGAAATGACTGCTGACGTCATCAAAAAACCGCTAATGGTTAAGAGATAGGGACTAAGCTGGTCCCACCCTGCAAGTAAAGGGAAGAAATTTCTTGAACACCATAAAGCTGCGGGGGTTGCGACCAGGATAAATGGTGGTTTCTGAGCCTGGCCGCAAACTTGGCTATCTCAACTCAAAACTAATGTTAAGGTGGGATGGTCCCTTTAAAATATTTATTGTTTGTAAAAACATTTTTGGTTTAACCCTCGCATGTGTAGGGGGGGGGGGGTCGGATGGACCCCCCATGGTTTTTCGCGAATAACTCGCGTAAAAAGCGGCCGATCGCGACGAAACTTTCAGTACCCTCGCATTGATCAATTTTACACCTACCCTGAAAATTTCATGACCCTGACCCAAATGACCTTTGACCTGTGACCTCTTTTCCGAGACCATGTTTGGCCGGAATCGCGATTTCGCGTATGTCGGCTCGCATTAGCCGCGCGTTTGCAAGCTTTTCGTGGTTTCAAACGTTCAAACATGTGATTTGATGTTGCTCCCATACATTAGGGTGGGTGTCAAGGTCACCTGAAGGTCAGTTCAGGTCATTGACCTTTGGTGACCTCGGGTGACCTCGGTTCACTTTTTCGAGTTTTACATGTTTCTAGGCTAGTTTTTGGAGCTGAATTCGAATTTAGCAACCATTTGAACATTTACGAAGTAGTTTTGGTGACTTCGTAACATGTTACGAAGCTGTCAGAGGCGGTTGACGCGTACTACGAATACCCGTCACGACGCCTACTGGTTGACCTGACCTGACCTGACCCGACCTGGTCTAAATGCTTAAAGACATCATCTGTGATCAAAACTAACACGATATTCGTGATCAGCACCCCGAAAAACCCCTTAGAAGCCACACTTTACGACTTTCTAACAGGTCCCGATTTTCCCGACTTTGGGTCATTGACCTGACCTGGAAGGTCAACCAATGACCTAGGACCTTAAAATTGGGTATCATCGGCTTCCTCTCGTCACGGGCAACACGCTCGTTTTTCCGCGAAGCTCTAGCTCGATCAGGGGCCAAACGGCAAGGGGGGGGTCCAACCGACCCCCCCCTACACATTAGAAGCTGGCAGACGCCGCACACATGCGAGGGTTAATATTTTACACCATTTAAATATTGTATTTTATAACACAATATTATGTATTCATTTGATTTCCATTCTTTCATATTTTTCACAAAGCGGGTGCTTTAACAGCGATAGTTTTTCCGCCCGTTTTACGTGAATGCGTGTCTTTTTGTGAGGAAGCGAGGAGTTGGTGTTTTGTTAAATTGTCTTTTGTTTGCGAGACATGTAAGTATGTTTTTTTTTATTCAGATTTCAGGATGTCAAATAATATAAGAATATGAAAAAAATATCCTTGAAATCTTCTTTAAGGCCGTGTTACACTGCCGAATTTTGGCCACGACCCTGTCGCCGAATCACGTCGTGTAGGAAATCGGCGAACAGTTCACCGACAGAGGCGGACAGTTCGCCGACAGAGCCCGATTTGCAGATAACGGGTGGGGGGCCCCCCTAATCGTGCGCGGGTCGAAGCTGATCCATGATTCGGCGAACATCGCGAATGAATGGCGAATCTGTTGCGAATAGTCGGCGATACCTTGGCAACAAGTCGGCGCACGTAGCGACATGTCGGCGGTGACTCGGCGAGTGTTTGGCGATCACGTTCGTTTATTATAAGTTCGGCGAACAGCCACGAAATTTTCATTTTTCATGAAATATTCGTGGCGGTCGTGACGAACCGTAAAAGTCGCGCGGTGGGCACCGACTGGTCTGCGAAATGCCAAGACCGTGGAAGAAAGATCCCGAATCGGTCCGCGACATAGGATGACTTGCATATTCGTGCACATTCGTGTACCAAAGTTCGGCAGTGTAACAAGGGCTTTACACTGCCGAATTTTGGTACACGAATGTGCACGAATATGCAAGTCATCCTATGTCGCGGACCGATTCGGGATCTTTCTTCCACGGTCTTGCCATTTCGCAGACCAGTCGGTGTCCACCGCGCGACTTTTACGGTTCGTCACGACCGCCACGAATATTTCATGAAAAATGAAAATTTCGTGGCCGTTTGCCGAATTTATAATAAACGAACATGATCGCCAAACAGTCGCCGAGTCGCCGCCGACATGTCGCTGCGTGCGTCGACTTGTTGCCAAGGTATCGCCGACTATTCGCAACAGATTCGCCATTCATTCGCGATGTTCGCCGAATCATGGATCAGCTTCGACCCGCGCACGATTAGGGGGCCGCCCACCCGTTTTCTGCAAATCGGGCTCTGTCGGCGAACTGTTCGCCGATTCCGGCGATAGGGTCGTGGCCAAAATTCGGCAGTGTAACACGGCCTTTAATCGTGCGCGGGTCGAAGCTGATCCATGATTCGGCGAACATCGCGAATGAATGGCGAATCTGTGGCGAATAGTCGGCGATACCTTACCTTGGCAACAAGGCAACGCACGCAGCGACATAGCGGCGGCGACTTGACGACTGTTTGGCGATCATGTTCGTTTATTTTAAGTTCGGCGAACGGCCACGAAATTTTCATTTTTTCATGAAATATTCGTGGCGGTCGTGACGACCCGTAAAAGTCGCGCAGTGGACACCGACTGGTCTGCGAAATGCCAAGACCGTGGAAGAAAGATCCCGAATCGGTCCGCGACATATGATTTTTTTTTTCTAAGATAGTCCGTTACCCATGATCAGGTAACCAGGAGTGCCCCCTCCCACAGTCCCGGCGACGCACAGAGACCTTACTTTAACACCAGGTAACATAATAAATTGATCAAGTCGCGGCACTCCCTGCTAAGAAGTGGAAAATATAAATAAAATATAACGCATGCAATACTACTAAAAAATGTTAGTAAGTACGCCAAAAAGGAGGAAAGTAGTCATTGCCAAGTGAAGCAAAATGACTGCCCACTATACCAACACAAGCAACTATCATTTATACCAGTGTTAGTAATTAACGCAATACGCATTCATACTCAATGTGGGGAAAAGCATGCCTGGTCATGTTCTTGCAAGGTTATTTTTATTGCCGAAACCCTTGGCTCCGTCCGACTAAGCTAGGCTTGTTGCCAGACAGAACCTCAGGAAACAGCACGGACTAGAGTATTTTAAGAATTAGTACAATAAGTTGTATAGATGTCAATGTAGGTAATGCATGTAACCTACATTCAATTTGCATATTTACCATAAGGTAAATAGGCAAATTGAAATAGACAATGATTGAGAATTGAAATGAAATTGAAATGAAATGAAATTGAGAATGATTGAGGATGACTTGCATATTCGTGTACATTCGTGTACCAAAATTCGGCAGTGTAACAAGGGCTTTAGAATATGTGTTGTAGGTATTTTAAAGCCCTTGTTACACTGCCGAATTTTGGTACACGAATGTGCACGAATATGCAAGTCATCCTATGTCGCGGATCGATTCGGGATCTTTCTTCCACGCTCTTGGCATTTCGCAGAGCAGTCGGTGCCCACCGCGCGACTTTTACGGTTCGTCACGACCGCCACGAATATTTCATGAAAAATGAAAATTTCGTGGCCGTTCGCCGAACTTATAATAAACGAACATGATCGCCAAACACTCGCCGAGTCACCGCCGACATGTCGCTACGTGCGCCGACTTGTTGCCAAGGTATCGCCGACTATTCGCAACAGATTGGCCATTCATTCGCGATGTTCGCCGAATCATGGATCAGCTTCGATCCGCGCACGATTAGGGGGCTCCCCACCCGTTGTCTGCAAATCGGGCTCTGTCGGCGAGCTGTTCGCCTCTGTCGGTGAACTGTTCGCCGATTTCCTACACGACGTGATTCGGCGACAGGGTCGTGGCCAAAATTCGGCAGTGTAACACGGCCTTATGGCCGTGTTACACTGCCGAATTTTACCGAATTACAGTACCGAAATTCGGCAGTGTAACAAGGGCTTTAGTGGATTTAGCAAAATATAAAAAAGGCGGCGTGGAGCGCCAGTCCAAACGGCAGCCAGTCCAATCGGCTGACAAAACGGGCGAGGGTTTGTGATCACTTGGTCCGTGGGGCTCCACTGAGACCGGCCTGTGTGTGTCCCTGTGAGACGCTGTGTGCTCCCCTGGCCGCGTCCCTGCGGCACTCGGCGGCCGGCGCCGGTGGCTATTGTCGGGTCGCGGGCGGCCGGTCGCGGCCGGTGGGTGGACGATTCCGGGCCGCGCCGAGCAGCTGAAGCCGGGACATGATGCAGGTAGGGTCAGCGCCGACGATCTCCCAGTACTTATTTAACACATATTTACATCCCTAGTTCGTGCATGAGCCTTATAAGGGAAACTGCTAACACTGATATTTTCTATTTTTCTTTTAGAGCGGACGGGAAATGGGGGAAGCTTGCTATGCCCCTGACGAAGCAGTTTCATTTTTCTCACCTTCAGTGCAGAAATTATATGATGTTTTGCACGAAGAAGCTGCGGATGAAGGTGGTGATTCAAATTTATTAGAAGTTTTCGACGATGACGGTCTTCTGTGGTGGAAAGCTGTCGCGGAGCTTATGCCCGGTAAGTGGACAGTTTATGGCTGGCGCCGACTGCATCGTAACTCATGCACTTTCAAAATAAAACAAGGCACGTCATTGCATTTAGAAATCTAACGAGGATGATGGGGACAATGACGTCACGATCGCTGGTGGCATTGCCAAAGTCCAATCAGTGTCTTCGCTCTGACCTTTGTGCCAAGTTAAAGTTTTATATCACAACTGGTCTGTTTACAACTGAAACACCTCGTCCCGTTTTTTTGCATGTTTAAAGTCCATTGACATTGTATTGTATTGCCGTATCCTCCCATGAGAGGCATGAGAGGCAGACCAGCACGGTGTCCAGTCTAGCCCTTTGTCGGGATTGAATTTCAGCTGGTTCTATTATTTCTCTGTTTTTAGTCACTTGGGCACCATCGGCGGCGAAACACACGATTCGAAAGATCGCTAAAAGCTTTGATTACATCAACTTTTTGGCTACTAGATTTAGTGAAAAGAAGGTAAATACCGCTAACTGAATTCATGTATTGAATTTTTACACACGCAGGCGTTGACGGTGCCGTTGGTCTGCTGGTAGCGCTGGCCGACCCGCCCAGTTACGGCGGCACGCTGTCTCTGTGCCGCCCCCTGCGGCGGCTGCTGCGCGCTGCGGACGACGCGCGCGCGGCGCTGACGGCGCAGCGGGCGGCGCGGCTGCGGCGGCTGGCCGCCCGGTGGCTGCCGTTTGAACCCACGTGCGTGCGCCAGATGGGTAGGAGCTGGGACCGGCGGCTCACCACTCTGCACATGGCCGAACTGTGTGCTGCCATCGACCGAGGCCTGGGCAACGTGAGTCCGGTCAACGGGACGGGAGAACGCGTACTATGGGCCGGCCGGCACCGCTTGCATATTTTGCTCATTCCTCGTTACTGTTAATCACAACTATATTCAGCCGTAAATTGAGTATTATTAACTTCAGTAAATCGCACGCTATTTTTAAATTTCATTGGGAAATGCGTTTTTTTTGCATCCGTCTATAGACTCATTCACCAAACACTTGTCAACATAATTCCAATGTACTCAAACACTTAGTTCATGAGCTAGTTATCGTCTCAACTCTGATGCTTTGGTACTCTTCCAGATATTGTTATTGGAATGTTCACGGGTTCCACCCCTGCTGAAAGACATTGTTGGTGCACCAGAACTCGTCAGCATCCTTGGACCTACACCAGTAAGTAGGTAAAATTTATGGCTACATGGACATGGTATACTTGCAAGTAAAGGTACTTATTTTCGTCCCCCGTTCCACTGTATGATAAAATTCATGACATTTCATAACATACAATATGCATTGAGGCGCCGATGACATCTGAAGTCAGGTGGCCAAAAAATCGTAAATCATCGTCATCAACCTTGATCTAACTTCTTTAGAATCGAAGGTTATGAATTGTACACCGATCTACTTTGCTTATGTTAACTCTGCGCTCACCTGCCGTTTCGTCCTTCCCTCTGCCCTGGACGGGCGGACTGGGGCGTAACTCGATGTTCTCGCTGCCCAGGTGCACCTGCTGCGGCTGCTGCTCGGACCGCCGTGCACTCTGAACGTCCGTAACCTGGTGTGGCACGGTTTTCCGGCGCCGGGGGAGCTGCCGCCGGCGCTCCTCAGTCTGCTGCTGCTGCTGACTGCTGCTGTGGGCGCTCTGCTGGCCGACCGCGCCGTGCCGGCCCGTCGCCAGCTCGCCTACTCGCAGGTCCGTCTAGCTCACCTCACAGGTCCATCCGCCAGCTCGTTCACTCGCACTTTCCATCTCACCTACGCTCACAGGTCTGTCCGCCAGTTAGTCCACTCGTAGGGCCTTCCATCTCACCTGTTCACAGGTTCGTCCGCCGCTGGCTCACCCATTCCCAGATAATGTCCGTCCAAACACTATGTTAGCTGGAGATTACATCTCAACACACTAGTATGTAAGTCTGTTTTGAGTTTAGCCATTATGAACTGCTCTTGGCTTAGCCTGTGCGATATCACACTTGCCATCGTTTCAGTTCTATAAAGACGCAGAAAGTACCGACGGAAACATGAAATGCCGTTAGATCACTGATGCCCCCTAGGGAACATCCCGCCCTTCCCCCGTAGATCGGTCTTGATTGGTTTTCGTGCTTGCAGGCGCTGCTGTCTTGTCTTCAGCTGCCGGCCGTGGCCGACTGCCAGGTGGAGGACCTGTGGCGTCTCGTGCTCCGCTCGCCGTTCGTACCAGTAGTGATGCGACCCCACTGGCGTCTCGCGCTGGCCCTCTACCGCCATGGCAGGTACGCTGCTCACTGCGGAGGCATAAAGGCCCACGACAGCCAACTGGGCAGGGCCGATTCCAAAGGTGGATTTTGAATTATCTCGACTAGTGATTACTAGTTAATATTGTCTCATGCTTTATTGCCAAAATATGTCGTGCTTCATGCTTTTTTAGTGTGAAAGCTTACACTTCATAGTTTTTAACATTGTATGTTCTTTATTAGTCCATGATTGCTCTGAGTGGGTCATAGTTTGCAACATCTGTTGACGTTCCCGCTGGGAGCTGCTTAGAGGTTTGGCTGTTTCTGTGACTGTTTGCCGTCCACCAGGTTCGGCCAGGGCGCGGTGCTGTTGCTCCCTCAGCTGGAGCACTGTCTGCGGCTGGCGTTCTGCGCGCTGGCCGGCTGTCCGGAGCGGCGCCGCACCGCCGAGCACCGGGAGCTGTACACCACGCTGGACCATCTGGTGGCCGGCGGCGGCGGTCCGCTGCGCGCCCTCTGCGGCGACGCCGTGCTCTGTCAGCTCTGCGACCTGCTCGTGTGGCCGGCCGGGCCGCGGCTGCGCGACCGGCTGGCGCACGGCGAGGTGGAGACGGCGCGACTGCCGGCGCCGCTGGCGCACCAGCTGCTCTGGCTGACCGGTCAGCTGCTGGTCACCACCACTGACTGGGCGGAGCGGCAGCCGGCGCCGGCCGGCGGCACAGCGCAGCACTCTGGGGACGGGGCCGAGCAGCAGCAGTACTTGACGGACCGGTCCGAGCAGCAGCGGTACTCTGGAGACTGGTCCGACCTGGAGCCTGTCATCAGGGAGCTGGAGGAAGCTGATGACTGTGAACTAGGTGAGTTGGACGGGTGTGTCGCACTCTCAGAGACTCCAGTCGGCGGCGACGAGTGTGGGACTCGCACGAGTTGTGTCAGTGACCAAAGTGCTGATTTGGTTTGTGGTGACCCGTCAAGTCATTTGACACCGACTAGTCAGTGTGTGAGACGGACTTCTGACGGTTCAGTGCTGGGATGTGAGGACGCGTCCGTCGAATCGAGCGACGCTGGTGCACCGTGTGACAGAGCGCGCTGCCCGGGTGAGTTCGGTGCGCTGTGTGCCGGCCGCGCGCGTGACTGGTACCACCCGTCGTTCCACCAGTTCTCAGTGCTGCAGCGCGCCGTGCGCGATCTCAGTGCCGCCGCCGAGGAGACTGTGCGCCGCGAGCTGCCGCCCGAGGGCCGGCCGGCGCTGACCCGGCTGGAGCCGCTGGCTGACGGCGCGCTGTCGCTGCGTCCGCCGACCCTGCGCCGGCCGCGCCGGGAGGCCGAGCTGCTGACCCAGCTGCAGCAGCTGGTGGCGGCCCTGGACGGCGCCTGGCGGCGGGCGGCGACCGCCGGCGCCACGTGGCGCCGTCTGCAGGAGGCCGGACAGTTGCGCTCTCGGCAGCGCGCCACCTGGGGCCGCATGCAGAGCGCGCTGCCGGAGCTGCACCGTCTGACGGCGGGTCTGCTGCGACTGGTGACGCGCCAGATGGACGGCCTGGCCACCGCTGCGAGCACGGACCCAGACGGAGACGGAGGCGGGGACAGTTCCGGACGGAGCCTTACCAGGTGGGTCCTGCGGCGCCAATACCCGGCCGCCGGTGGGGCTGGATGGATAACGTATCTGTTCAATTGGGAGGGCAGTTTATTCATTCATCCATTATTTCGCACCCAAGTTGTGCGACATTACATATGACGCCGTGTGCTAAGCATCACGGTGGCAACTGAGACATACACGTCACGTCACCGTCACTGTCGTCCAAAGGAAGAAAAGGGTAACTCCAGAACACACTTCCCAGGAGAAAAAAAAACTTAGCGGACCTCTCGTAGCGGCTCGTATCCTGTCGTCTAGTATTTAAAACGAATGCAGCAAATTTACCACCGTTAGAATACCCATGCTGCGCCCTTTTCGGAGCTATCTTTTTTTTAGCTGAATCTATGTCTAAGACAAAAAAGAAAAAAATAGGTCTAAGCTTTTTACCTTTGCAGCTGTTCGGTCACAGGAAGCGAAATCCCAATGGAAGGAAGCCGTAAATAGGTGGAACGGAGATATCCATTTCTTCAATGGCAAGTTCACCGCACGCGCCATTATAGACGTGGTGAAAAAGGGTAGACGCTGTAATGGATGAGTGGATGAATGAATGCATGACGGTGTGATATTTTAGAGTTTTTGAATATTGACCGATTACTTGAATGATCTTCGCTGTTAACACGCGCACCGACGGGGGGGGGGGCGGATATCCGCCCCCCCCGAGGTTTTTCGCGAATAGCGGGAAGCCGCCGCGAAATTTGGTACGACTATTCTCTCATCAATTTTACACATGGTGTGCAGGTTTGACCCTCCTAACTCTGAAGGTCAGGTCACTAGGTCACTTTGAATGACCCAACCTCAAGTCACTTTTTTGCAACTTTGTCACCGTGCCAGAGCTACAGTAGATGTCGGAGGCCTTTGAATCTCGCAGGATGTTATAAGGTCATTAGTAGCTACAATTTGTATATCTCGGAATTTTGATGTCGGTGACCTAAGGTCAGGTCAATTTCGCGACCTCCCCATTATAAGTCAACGGGGGAAAAATCAACTCCCTGTTTTTACAACTAAAACGGGTCAGAATGGCCCCATATACCATACATGACTTCATATACGATAAACCTTCACTACCTTGAGGTCTGTTTTGCTGTTGGGCAGCTGCAAGGTCATGTGACGTCATCAAAGGTCACCAAAGGTTCTTTGCCAATAACTCCGTACAGGAACAAGATACAGCCGCGCGGATGGTCTCATTGTGTTCAGCTCGTCAAGACGCATCGAATGATATACATGATGACCTCGAGGTCACGTGACCTGAGGTCAACCTTTGACCTTGACCTTTCGAGGTCAACATACATATCATTCGATGCGGATTGACGAGAGGATCACGATGATGCCCTTAGTTTGTTCCTATCATGACTAATTCGAAAGTTATTCGAGAAAAAACTCCATATCTAGCTCCGCCATTTTGACTTTTTCGACCCCTGTGACGTCAGCTTAGACCTGACCTGAAAATGACCTTAGTAAAAATTGTAGACCTTGTCCGTGCGTATCCGATGCCGTTTACCGCTTGTCGCTATCTTGCTTCGTTCTCGAGATCTCAGGGGGGGGGGGGGCGGTCATCCGCCCCCCCCGTCGCGACGGGGGGGGGGGGGTACGAAGTTGGCGCAGACCCCCGTCGGTGCGCGGGTTAAACTGTGCTGCCGGCTCCGAGGCTGTCGTACTATCCATCTTCTGTGTGTAAATAAGTGTAGTTTACTTGACTACAGGGCTGGCGAGTTTATGCCACCAAGTGGTATTAACTTTACCTTACCTTAGGTGTACACAGAATTTTGAGGCCTATATATATAGGCCTGTTGGACCGGATCTTTACTGTAAGTACTCGCTCTGTAGGTACTGGTTGGTATCAGTTGTCGCAGTGTCCCAAAATTATATTTTTGCTTGGGTGTCAGAGGGGAAAATTGCTGACCAAAAAAAGGATGAGAGTGAAAAATTGTCGGTCAGGCAAGGCCCAAAAAGAATGGGAAAATGACAAAAACATTAATCTATCTACAATTGTGACAGATGCAAAACAACCATTCACGCAATTGCTCCTTCTCGGTGGAAATGGGAGTGGAGAATTTGGCTTGAAAACTGGAGGTGAGAGTGGAAAATGATTTTCATTTGGATGTCGTTTCCCACCACATCTACAAATTTTGGGACACTGAGTTGTCGAAGACAGAGGAGAAGCGGATAGCTTTCCAGTGGATGTCGATTCGGGATTTGAAGGCATTGAGAGAGGGGGCAGAGACGACGTGGTATGGCAGACTGTTCCAACTGTTTACTGCTCTGACGCTCAGGAAGCTCCGTCTTGCTCTGGAGATGGCTTGGGGCTTGTGTAGCTTGAAAGGGTGACCTCGAGTGATCCTGGTCTCTGCGAGGGGGAGAAGCCCTTCTTGAACCTGCATGGCGTCGTGGAGGATCTGGTATATAACTATCATGTCGCCTCGAAGCCGGCGGTAAGTTAGCGACGGTAGGTCGAGCAGACACAGTCTCTGAGAATAGGGTTTCAGACGTAACTCAGGTACTATCTTGATTGCTCTGCGCTGAACTCTTTCCACTAGCTTTTGATCTCCTCTTGAGAAGGGTCCCCAGACACAGTTGCTGTACTCAAGATGTGGTCGGTTAACCGGTTTTAACCGCGGCATAAACTGACTGGCATAAACTAGTTTTTTGCCACTTACTGGCAAAAACTGGCATAAACTTAAATGTGAATGAGTTTTTGCCATTTACGTTTTTTTTTTGTCGTAGCTTACATCATGTTATGTTTTTCTTCTAGCCTTTGATTTGAAATAAAAATGTTGAAGTTTAACCACTATTATAATTGATAATATAGACAATAGTTGAAAGGGTAAGGATGGCTAAGAAATAAAGCAAACACTCGTAATTCACACATCATCAGAATCCATGAGTCTCCACTAGATTATAATTTCTCCTGAGTTAACTTTACGTTAACTTTACGTCTTGACACATTTATAAAAAATAAATCAAAGGAATAATGATTGATGCACTTGGCACTGCATATTTTGTGTAGGCATTAGTCAAGTAGTTCTTCACTCATCCCTTGCTATCCACTTCATGAAGCACATGCTAGATGTCTTTGTGGACTGTACGTGCCACTTTGTGTCTGCTCTGTGCATGTGTGTGTTGTGCATGTTGACTCAAGGCCATCTATAGATGTTGTCTACCAAATAGTGTTAATGGTTTCATGCTTGTTGGTATTTTATTGCTTTACATGTAAATTTTGCATTAACACTTAAAATAAGATGTAATAATCCATAAATGAGGGTTTTTGTCAGTTTATGTCAGTTTTTGCCAGTTTTTGCCGAAACTGGCATAAACTAGTTTTTGCCACTGACTGGCATAAACTAAGTTTATGCCGGCATTTTGCCAACCCTGCTTGACTATATGTAGATATTTAAAATTAAATCAGCGCATATTAGACTTACAATTACTGAAATCATTGCGGAGTTCAAGTCAACAAAACACTATCAACGTTCAGTTCAATGAAAAACAATACCGAATTCTTATCTGTATTCATTGTGTTTGAAAACAGATAATTCGATAGTTTTTCATTGAACTGGACATTTGTCAAAATGAACAATATACCATCAACGGTCCAGACATTTCAATCAAACGAAAGGGATCGATGGGATGTGTTTTATGTACAAGACGAACAGCATTCTGGATTCAGTGTAGCACAATGGATGTGCCTAGCAATGTCCCACGTTCAATAGAATGCGCGTCATATAGACATTTCCCTTTAAATAAAAAAATCCACACTCCACATACCTACAACAATACATATCACGGAAGCCAGTAACGGCTCGCGTCCTAAAAACAAAAGCAAAACGAAACATGGAGCTGGTCAAGGACGCCCTGATTCTTCACGTCCGTTGAATAGCACGTAACACCCTTTATCGTGTAAAAGGTAATTGATTACAATTAAGTTTGGCTACTGAGATCCCCGCAATAGATCTGATAGAAGATATATCTTTATAAAGCTGATCAAGCTGTTTTGCTTCAGCCTCACTTCATGTCCCAGCCTCAGCCTCAGCCTGCCAGGTCACGCACCTTTTCCCCGGCAGGCCCTTCCAGAACTGACGTTTGTAAGGCGTCATCAGCGGAGATAACACGCTCAGGATTTTCTCCAGCCCGTTTGTTCTCATGGCGACCGTGCGTCTATCCGGCTGCGTGCTGGCTGGGTCGAAAGTCGTTTTAACCCATTAGTGCCGGAAGTAGAATTACTTGAAAAATTACGTTTTCTTCTATTAAAACGGCGTCAACTACACCTACTTAACAGACATTTCGCCTGATTGTTTTTATTTGTCTCAGTTCCGGAAATATGGGGCGTCTATATTTAGTACTCTCGGCATTTACAGTACACTAAAATGGACGGGTTACATCCAACGTTTATTGTTCACACAGTCATGACCGATTTGATGTACTGAGATATGATGCCTCTGCGAAACAGATCAGGATTCACCATGGGGGTCTCACACGGTTGACACTGCAGTTGAGAGTTGACACAGTTGACACAGTTCAGTCAGTTGACCTTTCGCTGTGGTTTACTTTGAGTGGTATGGGCGGAAGCACTTCACGCACAACGCGACGTTGCACTTGCAGCAGGCTGTTGAAGGCCGTGACTTGCAGGCCTCGCGTTTGCAACGCCTTTGAGACTCTGCCGGGATGACGTAGTGGTGCATGCCGTCATACCGGATGTCAGGGACGGTGGACCGTGATGCTCCCGTAGGTACTGACCTTGACGGCCCTGTTGCGCCTTCTGTGCCGGCACCGCTGACATCTCGCTGACACCGTGTCAGCAGTGTCGTGGAGATCTGCCGGCGGACGTCTAGGAGGCTGGCGTGTTCATCCTTGGTACGGTGTACGAGCCACGTGTTCTGCACTGCTGCATCCAGCATCCATGAAAATATGGCCCACCACCACTTCTTGATCCTGATGTTTGTGCGATACGCATTGATGCTTTGGTCCATGATGTCCGTTC